AAATATGTTATTTCGTTAGATTTTTAAATGTAAGTCGCCGAAAATTTGACCTCGGACATGCGCTCTATCGATATGTCCATTTTAAAGGCGACCAAATTAGAAATAAAATTCAGTGCATCATATTATAATAACTTGCTTAAAATTGTATATGTACTTCTATGCATCGTCATGGTTTATGCATGAGAGAATCATTTATGAATACGTTATAAAAAAGTAAGGTTTAGGCTATTCATTACATATCAAAAAAATATACGAAGGAAAGGAGATGAGATATTTAAATCATTTTTTTTTTATTGTTCAAATATTTAGTTCAGACGTATATTTAACGCTTGAAGAAACTCCACACGATTAGTTAACTTTAAGAAAATAAAGCTAAAAAACTCGTTTTACATTCTTAACGTTAACCAACCGTAAATTCTTACTGCTAACCTAAAAATAACTCTACTACTTTTATAGAAAAAAAACATTTTGCTTCGTGTCAAGGACGTACAATTCCATTAAAAATTGATCAACATTTCTCTATTTAATATTTTGTTTGAGTTCATTTTTAATATTTGTAGGAGTTACCTCCTCCTTAATTCCCATATTGTCACCAGGGGTCTCTCTCCCTATACTATAAATACTGAGAAACTTCTTGCCTCCCCGTTTAGACTTTTTTTTTTCCTTTGTGAAACAGGCCTCCCTAGAATGCCCGATCCCACCTCGCGTGGTGGTGAGGTAAATCTGATTTCAAAACTCTGACCAACCAGGACTTCTTCTTCATTTCAGCGACAAGATGTAAGCTCTTAGAAGATCAGCGTTTCCCATTTCTGGAAAAATGCTATGATCATTAGGAACATTCACCAAAATACGAACATTCACCAAAGAACAATGTTCCCACACACACAAATGTTATGTCTATATGCCTTGTACTTTGTTTAATACATTGTGGAATCTTCCACAACAAACCAGCCTTACCTCCTTTTAGGAACTGCACTCTTCCTATCTGGTAAGTAACATCCTACTTTCATACAAAATATCAACGACAAACCATTGGTTAATCTCAGTACATCCAACTTGCTGACTGGTCAGTTTCAACTAATCAGATCGCTCTCACATGCAGTGTCAATTTAGGCGCGAAATCAATTCTGATCCTACGACGTGATGCAGGCAGATATATAAACCCAACACGTGTGATTATCATTAAATTTTTATGGCATGGGGCGCGTTTTGTAGGTCCCCCTTGTGAGGATGTGGTATTATGGTGGAAGGAGGATTGATTGGTGATGGATGAGTTCTTGTGGTGAATGGGCAAATTGTAATGAGTGAATGGGTCGTGAATCGGATTAGCTAGGTATAGGATAGTTAGTGAAGACCAGCCTCAACCCCTCCCCTTTTCAGGCCTTGTGCCACAATTGTATTTTTCGATATACTGTTCCTGCTCTTCCTGACTCGCGCCTAACTTATCTACGTCACTCGTACATCTCAACACGCCGCCAAAATGTGACCCTAAAGGAACTCTCGTCTCGACTGATCCAGTCAGACGTTAAATGAACAATACTTAATTCATGCAAGTATTATCTCTGAACTCTACCTAACTTGTTCATACAATTCCAAACACTCAATACGAACACATTACTTCCTTTTAATATGAACTCAGGTACAACTATTACCTAATCAAAGGGACACGACTCTGTCCTACCTTTTCACTCAATATTCAATTCATGCATGTATATCAAACACTAATAAATTCAATTGTTATGTTTTGAAACAAGATGTTTATGAATCATTATTTCTCCTTCCTAGTCTAACGTCAAGAGTTTTTAATCTTCATAAATTAAATAATAGGGAAAAAGGTCTTATTTAGAAAGTACATCTGGAGGTAGCCTTGTGCCAGTTTTATCTCCAGAGAGAGAAATAAATCAAATATGTTCTGCGCCCCTACACCATATTTGTTGATATATATATATATATATATATATATATATATATATATATATATATATAATGAATAATCGAAATGAATGACGAATTGAATAATCCAACACTGTGGCCGTGCAAAGGACCGTCATATTTTTATTTCAAGGACATCATTTAGAATTTTATTTTTAATCCTCTATAGGACAAATAATTAAACAGTTGTGGAAGGAAATAAATGAATAAAGTATTTTTTAAAAAGTTCATACTCGAAAATAACATTAGATTTTACATTTTCCGAGTTTTCATACACATCTTTATTTTTCTGTCAGCTTTATCAGCAACGACCAAGATCTGAAAAGTTTTAAGATTCTACTGTAAAAATACATGTCAGTTTCTCCCAAGTATTCATCAAACTTATATTTTTTTATTTCTGTAATTTGTGGTATATCGGATATTGGCTCGGACTAAGAAATCGGATGGCCGTGTTCGAGTTCAAGTTGAATTCGTTATCTTCACTTACAAAAACTTAGATATCTTTGGGAAGTGAATCTATCTATCCTTCTCCCGGCTATGGGTTGAATAGCATAGTAAACTGGGGTCTATAGCCTTGGTCGCGCAATCAGTTTATCACAGAAAGAATCGCCAGCCAGGAATCAAAACAAACATCATCGCTGAAGCGTATGGCACTTAAGTAACTGATTGAAATAAAAAAAAATATACAGTTATGAACAAAAAAAGTATTTTTTTTTTTTTTCTTGAATCTTTTTCTTAACAATATTTTTGATGTGTTCAAACAATATATTACTTTTTTACAATGATATAACAAATACATATTTGAAGATTTAGCATTGTAAAAATAATGAACATCCGAAATTCACCAATACAGACTAGCCACGAATTTAATAAAGACAGAGTTTAACTGACCCGATTTAAAGATTTAATGTAAAGTTCATTCGTTAATGAATAAATGCTGACAATTTGAAATCCAACATTTCCCTGATTTTTGGTTCTTTTTCTTTCTTTTTTTTCTTTTGAAAACAGGGTGTTTTTTTTCTTATTTTTCACTTGCCGAAAGTGACTGATTTTGGAAGGTATCTACGATATAATTTATATTACTTTTTGCTTTCCGTAAATTGCTTTCTAAGATGCTTGTTGATGTAGGTTAAAAAAAAATCTTTCTGTTTAAATGAAAAAAAAAAAAATGAAGTCAATTTTAACCGGATGAGAAAGGAAACAGAAAAAAAGAAAGAAAGAAGAAATAAATTTTGATAACAATATTGTTTGAAACATTTTTTAAACAAAAGAAATCCACAGTATTTATTAATATAGTATTTATTAAAATAAAATGAACCATATTATTTCTACTAAGATTAAGAATGAACCATGAGTTTTGATTACGAAGAAAGACGGGAAAAAAAAAAAGAAAAAAGAAAGAAAGAAAGAAAGAAAAAGAAAGAAAAGAAGAGAGAGAGAGAGAGAGAGAGAGAGAGAGAGAGAGTAAGCGTTTCCGCTCTCAAGCGCTTTATCGTCTGCTTCACTGGAATGGAAAGAAGAAAGAACGGAACACGAAAGAAACGGAAAATTGAGAAAAGAACTGAAGGAAAAGAAAAAGAAATTGTAACGGTAAAATTGAAATATATTATCTTCGTCTTTTATAATTCTTTTTGCAATGTATTTAAAATGTATCTTCAATATTATTCAAGTTTCATTACGGAAATATACTTCAGGTGATAGTCAAGTAGAAATAGAAAATAGAAAACAAAAGAATATAGAAAAATAGAAGCAGATATTTCCCAAAATAATTTAATGAAGAAATTTAAACTGCTATTTAAATAATTGGTGATATCTTAACGTTTTATTTATATACGATTTTCTGATAATTCTGTGTAATGACAACATCAAGCCATTTGACAATGTATTAAGATTATTTTTTTTTATATTTGAATCTGTGTTTAGTCATGAACAGTTGGACATTGCATTCTTAAGAGTACGCAAATTGTCTAATGCCGTTGTTAAGAGTGCTGGACACAAAGTAGGAAAAAGAAAATCCATTAAGAATGTAAAGAAGTAACTGAATAATGTTAGAGTTGTATTATTATAATTTGTATATTTTACTTGTTGCTAATATACATAATGTTTATCTTGTGAAAGTCAAACTTCTGGAATAAAGTGTTTTTTATTTGAAATAAAATTAGTGTGTACCTCCAAATTCATATGCACTTTCGACACGTAAAAAATGCCGATAATCACTGTTTTTAAACATTTACCAAAATCATCTAATTTCATTGAACTTTTCATCATTTATTCATTAATGATTGAACTTCATTAATAAATTTAATCTTTTTTATTATTTTTAAAATTTATCGTCAAAATCTATATTATTATTATTATTAAAAGTAAAGTGCAAAGGATTTTTAATTATTAAATTATATTTTTTATCCTTTTTAGAACGTTCAAAATTTTGGTTAAAAATCTTGTTTTTCTTGCATCAGAATGGGGGGGTGCAAAGATTAGTATAAGGAATTTTAGAATCTTTTGCGGTGAAAAACACATTGATTTGGAAATTCTTGCAAAAACTTTTTAAATAGTTGTCGGATTTTAATGAAACTTTCAGAACTTATTCACAAATGAATAAAATTATTTTAGAAGTGTCTCTTTTTTTTTTAGAAAATCTTAGAAAAAATTTTTTTTTCACATCTGTTACCTCCACTAATTTAATTTTAAGAAATTTCCAGAAATTCATTTCTATCGTTCAAGCTGTCAACAACTTAAATAAACAGCTTCCGTCGTGTTTCTGCAGTATTGCAATTTTAAATGGGATTCTGCACACACACACACACACACACACACACACACACACACACACACACACACACACACACACACACAAACTGTGCATTCAAATGCGTATACACTTCTTTTTCTAAAACGAACAATTCCTTTTTTGTGATTGGCTATAAAAGATTTTTTCGTGGCCAATATGTTCGATGGAAAATGAAAAAGTATCAAGCACTGGAAATGTGTTTGATGTTGTAAGAATTAGTACATAAAAATTGTTACAAGTCATTTTAACAGGAGGGGGTCAAAATGTTTCCTGGTGGCGACGGGCCTAACAATGATATTGCTTTTGATTTGACACATAGAATGCAGAGAAAGGAGTCTTTCTTTAAATAGTCAATCGGATCGATCAGATGGAGTAGGAAGTGAAGAATAAGGATTTTGTGAACTGTTTACAGTCTCCATTTTTTTCATATAAAAGCCGTTCATTACCACAATAAAAGAATGTCATTTTTCAATTTGGTCAAACAGAATTTCCTTTCATTAAAGATGATTTTAAACGATCAAACTTCTAACAATAAACTAAAACAAATAAACAAAAATAACAAAATCTCAATAGTATAAAAATGAAAGGCAATAATAGTCACTTTAAAGCATCAAATTTATTAAAAGCAATTTATTTTCTGTTAATTTCAACCTAAACTAATATATTGTATGGTCACCTTTCGCCTTCATAGCCGCTTTAGTATGACGAGGCATGATGAATATATTTTACTGAAATAGCAGCAGTCCAGACGTCATTTATAGCGACCACAAGAGCCTTGGCATTGGTCGGCTGTTTGTATTGTATGTAACCTTAATCTTCATGTTCAAAATGCTCCTCTTCATTTTCCATACAACACGGGTCCCTATCAGCAACACGTCAACAAGCCATTTGGCACATTTCAATTTCAGAAAATTTGTCAGAGATTGCTTGTTCAAATTGAAATTGTACGCTTTAAAATGAACAAAGGAAAATATTAATTTACACTTAAAAAAAAAGAAACAGGAAGAAAATAAAATAGATTTTCTTTTGTGGAAATAAATTACAGATTTGTTTTCTATGGTTTTAAGATTCGTTTCATGATTTCAGATACGAGAGTGGCTGAAAGGTTCAAAAGCTGAATATAAAGGATTAAGGCTGAAGCTGTGAAATATTGTATGCGTAAATTTTAATTCTTCTTATTAATAACTGCATTGTTTTATTCCAGTTAAACTGACATTTGATTGTTCAATGAAGACTTAAAATGTAACAAATAGCAACTTCTCATGAAAATGGGCAACATTTGGTATTGTGGTGTTATCAAGTACCTGTAGAAAAAGAGTTTAGCCCCCAAGGGCATTCATGCTAAGATGGTTACTACATTAGGAGATGAGGCTCCAGCTTTATCAACAAGGCAAAAGTGGGCAGCTGAATTTAGGAGAATAAGAAGAAAGAGTCTTAAAGTTGACACGCGGTCTGAATGTCCTGCAAGTACCACCATTAATGCGTTAGGGGAATTTCAATGCATATATTATTGTTGTAGAATTTGCCATGAGCTTATTCAATAAGAATTAAAAATTAAGATTCATCAGAGCATTTAAAAGGGAAAAACGTGAAATTTCACGGATTTTTCTAGTTATTATTATTATTATTATTATTATTATTATTATTATTATAAGATATCAATGACTCTTCCTGATATATTATTATTATGACAGTTTACTATTATTATTATTATTATTATTATTATTATTATTATTATTATTATAATTCGCCTTTGTTTTGTGTAGTACGAGTTGCCTCCACATCTTAATCAAAAACATCAAGAGACAACAAACTTTTTGTTGTAAATAAATATGTAAACAGATGAGTTGCAATGAAATTATGAAACGTAATTGTGGTCATTGCATGGAGAGAAGTCTACATAAGATTTGGGTCTCTATAAATATAGATTTCTGGTAAATTCATATAATGTAGGGATGTCAGAAATTTGATCCACATGGTTGTTTGCCCTTTTTGATATAATTCCTAGAGACTCAACAACAACAGGTCATTTTCTCTTGAGATGTCATCTTTTACTGATTTCTACCTTGAAGTATTTACTTACTTTCTCAAACTTCTTCAAAGATGTCTTTTTTTCGAATGGAGACACAACTTCCATCAGAAAACCTGTTTTTCGACCTGATTTTCTTAATTATGCCTGGTCGATTTTTCTGGATTTCTCTATCAGTCTGAAATCCCAGAAGGTGGTAACCTCGTAATTCTGTACAACTTGTGATGATTTTATGCGTTAGGGGAATTTCAACGGATAATATATTGTTGTATTTCTGGCCCTAACTATGCCACAACAGTGGTGTTATCAAGTACCTGTAAAAAAAAAAAAGCCTGTAGAGCCCCCAAGGACATTCATGCTGAATTTCTGTGATGAGAAATTATCATTATTTACACTATTTACATTCGTACTATTGTCCTCATCATTGTTGTTGTTGTCACAACATTTCGGCCCTTGCGCCCTCCGGCCTTCATTATGTGTATGTCGATCCGAGTAACCTACAAGGAATTCCTAATTGAAGCCTTTATTCAATCTTACTTAATATACGAGGGTAGACTGTTCCCTTTCTACTACCCCAGTCTAAGGATATCTCGTTTATATCTAATTATTTTTTTATTTAGTACTGCTCTGTTTTTGCTCACCCGGCGGTTATATCGATATGGGAGTTTTACCTCATCCCCCAATTCACTTGATTGGCTGATTTGGATAATTTTACGGTTTATCAACCTTTTCCAGGTTATTCATAGCCAGAAAATATTTTTAGATTTTAAATTTTTTTGAGATTATAATAATTTTCTGATACAAGTCCACACTAATTAATCCATATCAGGAAGAAGAAGAGGTAGTTCCATATCTTTCCCAAGGGTATATGCGCGTAAGTGAATATAAAGAAACTTGACTGGAATTGAGACTCAGCTCTTTGATTTCCAATACCTTACACCATCCACACATCCAAGCTTACAGGACCTATTATTCCTATCTAAGTACTGACCAAGCTTGACGTTGCTTAACCTCAGTGATCGTATGTACGAGTACTGGTGTTTCAACGTGATATGACTGTAAACATTCCAATTCTCTTGAGTTTGCTCCATGTGACTATCGTCTTTTCAGATCACTTCAACATTTGTTAGAGAGAAAATAATGTATTAGTTATGAAGACGTTAAAACTGATATTGAGATATTTTTTTTCTTTTCATCGAAATCCCAAGAAACTTACGCCCGAAGAATTAAGAATTTGCCAAATAGATATGATTATATATTATTGATAATGAAGGAAAATGAGATTTAGTAATTAAAACCAAAGACTATTTTTTCTTTTCTATCTTCAAATACGACAGGACTTTCTGACTAACATAACGTTTTTAAACAACAACAAAACACAAAAGAGAAATATTCGGTTTCATGTGTTGTGCATTCATGCGATTCGATTGATAAACATATAAAGGCAATATTTGTTGTGTAACTTTTCATTCCCCCAGAAGCAACCAGAAAGAACGTAATTGCCTCAGAATAGACCAGAAAAAACGTATTGCAATCGGAATTTTCATCATTCTCGAAGGTAAGACTTTATTAATGAATTTAAATAATTATTTAATATAATATTTTGAATATGTTCCTTAACATTTGATATTATAAATTGTATTTTCAATGTCGATACATGGAATTCATTTTAATAATTTTATCGGAAAAAAATGAGAAATAAAACAAACTTGTGTTTAGAAACACTTGTTAATTTCGTTAT